AACAATCCTATCTTCGCGCTATGCGATTTTCCCGTTTCCGTCTAAAATCTTTCACTGTAATGTTTTTTGCAAATAAATCATATTCTAACCAAACTGTAAAGGTAGTAATCGCATACCCGTTCCGATGGGTATAACGTCGTATGGAGTTCGGATTTTACCGGAACTGAGGTTCTAATTTTACGAGTTTTAACTGATAATAATATCGAATAATGGGCTTCGGTCTACCTGGTTTCATGAAAATGACACCTCATTTCGGTTATTGTCTGCGCCACAGTGATGTTCATCTTTTTTGTACTCCAGTAAATTCCCCTCACCACTGGCTTTTTCCGTGTACTCAGGATTACGGTGTTTACATAGGAGATCGCCAACAGCCGTTGTTGCGCCTTGAACGATCTGCTTCTTCGTTACTCGGCGTGGTCCGTTACGGGGTGCATGTGAACGGATATTTCATCAAACGTCCTCACGATCTGAATGGTCTCAAACATTCCACATCCAATGGATCCACTGTGGGCAATGGGAAAAGGTCATCTAGTCCCGTCTCAAAGGGTCTTGTCTGGGACCGGGCCCTCGGTGACCATGATCCATCCACTGTGATGATGTGGCTTGGGGTACGTGCTATGAATAAACCCACTTGGCCGGGGATGCTGGACAATATGGTGAGTTGTACGTTCTAGGTTGGAATATTTTCTTTAGGGATAACAGGCAGAGATATTCCCACGAAAGCCTTTTGCACCCTTCAGTTATTTATAATTGAAACAGCGCATGTGACACATTCATTACTATCATTTCATCGTGAACCATCAGCATAATTTGTTTGCATTCGGGACGGTAGAGATCCACCTTCCAAAAGACGCTTAAAACCTCGTTTGACTCATGCTGCTTGACCTCTTATCGCGTAGTGAACGTTTTGCTTAACTTCATGCTGGCAACATGCTTTTCGATGCAGTTTAATGGTTATTCACATCCCAGACAATGAAATACAGAAAACCTGGTGTTTGTGAACACAAAGGCGATATCCATGGTTATGTAGCGATAATCGAACAGGATGCAACAGCGCGGCCAAATCTGAAGGCCCCGCCATCCTTATTCAATTTTATCGTGGGGTGGTGGTGCAGTGGTTTAGTCGTTGTCACTGTCGTGTTTTGGGCCCTATGGTCCGAGGTTGGAGTTCCGCCACTGCCATCCACCTTTAGTGGTAAGCAGCTTTGCTGTCGTCCGGTTCAATACCACACCTAACCTATCGAGACCTTATGTAGTCCGCCACTTCAAGTCCTGGGGCTTAGGTTGCGGTCGCCTTCACTGAACAGCTGGTCCTCGTGATTATGGGATCCGCCCCGTCTGCTGTTCATCACACAGTGTGTGTAATAAAAAGGAAGAATCATTGGGGAACGCACTAAGTGGCCCCTGGAAGGTTGCTATCGAATGAGAAGGCCAGAGAGGAACTGTGCGATATATAGTATGCTGGCGCCATCGTCTGGTTTTGTATGTATGAGGACACACGAAATACAGATTAACAAGCTCCGTTGCTCCTTTAGGTATGCGCTTTGCACCTTGATGGTGTAAAATCATACAACAAGACGGTGTCAACTAATCCCGCTTGAAACGAGATGATTAGGATTGAGTTATAGTTGCTCACTTCTCCTTCCAAGGCAATTGCATGACCAATTACGGTGGCGCAATAAAATAGCCGCACACATTTCCAAGGCCGGAACTGCATACTCGGGACTAACGTTTTACTGAAGTGGAATATTGAGCTGTCAAAAGGTATTTATCGGGAAGAAATAATTATCACGGTGAATTCCAATAGGTAGGTTTCGCTTACCAGGACACGTGTTGCACATGAGTAACAGCTGTCTTCCGCACCGCCCCCTTTGCCGCTGCGGGTTGGAGAAATTCACCTGGAGATTAACAGATAACATGAAAACAAGGTATGAAGAAGAGCACGGGGTGGTTAGTTAGAGTACGTGACTCCCGCCGTCGAGGTTGGGGTCCAAAAGCTCCGTAACTGTTTGGTTAAGGACTCTTGAGGATATGACAAGGATCCTGGAGCCTTGGCTTTGGTTTTGTCGTTTCTTATCAGGCCTGAATGCGTGAAAAAGTGTGCGTACTCAGTTATACTGTGAACTCTGTGTGTTGGCCATGGTGTTCCCTCTCTTTTCTATTCAAAGGAGGTCTACTCCGCATTCACCTTAAGCATTCGTACTTTGTGTATATTGCGATTCTGATAGCAATACGGGAAGTTTGCTTAGACTAGACGATAATAATGATGATTCAAGGCTGTTCAAATCCTATTCTAGTTCTTACTGTTCTCGATAATGAGCTGGGAGTTAGAGATAAAGTTCTGTATCTCGAAAGCCTAACAATAAATTTTGATGGCATAACATTTCACTCTGTATTTGGTTCGGTCCGTCTCTTTGCTGGGGATCCTCGTCTATTTTCTGTATTCGATTTTCTACGTTTTTTTTTGTGTGTTTGGCAACACTATCGGATGAATTTGTCCAGTGTTTGACGACAACTAATGAGGGAAGATATCTGTCCTCTTTCAAAAGGCATTCTGGTACACCGCCATTTACTTGAACCCACTCTTCACACACAGCGGCTTGCTACCTTCTTGATCATGAAGACCCATTGCCAACCCCTTAGTTTAGCCGAGAGAAACGTCATGGTAGTCGTATTTTTTGAGTTTAAGTATGCTGATCACGACGTTAACCTTGCTCGGTTCTTCCCTATTGTTTCGAGGTTCACCAAGCCCCGAACAAACTCGGTCGTCTCATTTCGGGGCTACACAAGTGTTATGGAATGATCAAGAGTTTTTCGGAATGCAGTTGACAACAAACAGTTTTCATCGGAGAAAGTTCTCGAAAGCAGGCGATTAATTGTTCGGATGTTACTAACCGTATCGGTTATCATCGTGACCGCCCAGCAACTCCGCATTGATGATGCGATTCTCATAGCACTGTTTCACTCTTCTGTCTATCTTCCGACTTGGACTTTGGCACAGTCCTTACGGCTGGAAAACAGCGTCTAATATAATTCATGTACGTGCTGCACCCACTACAACTTCTTTGCAGTTCAGTGAATTTCGCTTCACTGTATCTCACTGTGTGATGATGTAGATGAGCCCGACTTTTCATGTTTATTCCGTCATTCCGTTTAACTTGACCTTTCCCCGAAATATTTTAAGGCATACATTGTCTGAATGTAAAATATCTGTCACCTGAAAATCGTCCCAAAACTCTTTCTTGTGACTGATAGATGTGATTGCGTGTTTATTTTTATGCAGCTCACAAATGATGGAAGTATTTTTTATTACGACACTGCATCACTCACCGGAGTACTACTCTACTGAAGGCAACCAATATCTTTTCACCTACTGTTGCAAATAAGAGGCGATTTAAAAAGTGCTTAATCCCAGTCGTTAGATGAGACCACAGCAACGTAAATCCACCAACAAAGCTTTGTTTTGAATAAGTGGGTTCCATTTCTGCCTTGAAGACTGTTATCCTCTTCTTGAAGTGAGCCGCAATCACCGTTTATTTATCTACCTCATATTTATGTTTCCTCACTGGGCGTGTTAAAAGTGTCATTATTCATACAAATGATGACAATGGTGGCCTCATTTCGCTGTTATCGTTCCGCGCTCTTTAAAGGCTGCCGGTGGTTTAACTTTCGGACTGGATGCGCTGGGTTGCGCTCGTAAGGAGTGTCAAGAAGAGGCCAGTGTTCCCGAAGACTTACTGAATACGTTGACTGCTGTCAGTCGTCTGAGGTGAGTTCGACTGAACCATTGACCAATATGTGCAATTTCTCCCAACCATCGTACCCATTTAACCGTAGTATCCTATCCACACGATCGACAAACTCATCAAGGATGCTCAGTTTCGGATAAAACTTGTGACGGAATCACATCATTGTGCGATTCCCCGATGAAAAACAAAATGGAACAAGCGATTCGAACCGGTCGGGGACAGTCCTATCATCGATTCTGATTGTACGACCCGTGTTAAGCGTAAGAGCCCGATTCCATCTGACGTCGTCTTTCCATCATTTTTCATCTTTCTTGCAGTCCAGTCGATCTGGGTCTTCCAGCTCACTCTGCAATGCGTTCGTGCTACAGCCTGAGATTCCGTTCGCTTCGTGTTAGGTATGCGCGAGATTTTTTTATCTTCCCCATGTCCTTCCCACATTTTACCATCACCATTCATTCACTTTCATTCAGAGCGTAGCCCGGATTTCACCAGCCTCAGTATTCTTATCCCCAATGTGTCGTGTTTCGCTAAGAGCTTCCGCTGTTTGCTCGTCCTGTTTGCTTCGGGAACCACTCCTCGGTTGGTTGGAATTTTGCCCTCCCCGCTGCTACTCAGTCTACCATTCTGCTGTCAAACTCCCCTACCACATCCCACCGTATTTAGTTGAGTGTGGTGGGATGCGGGCATCGCAACCTCGTTTGATTCATTCCCCCTCCTTCTATCTTTCTTCCCGTCACCTTTTGCTGTAGTTATGTGTTCGAGGACGAGCGTGGTGTCTGCCCACAAGTTGAATACTGCTACGATCTGGAACTACCGGATGATTTTGTGCCTGTCGGTGCAGACGGTGAAGTGGACAGTTTCCATTTGGTCAGCATTACTCAGGTGAGTTCAACACTCGATTTTTTAAACATCTGGTCTCCATGAAGCGTGTTTTTTTCGCCCTGCAGTTATTATTTTCACATTTGTTTAAGAAAAAGAAACTTTTTATTGATCGCAGCGATCCTTTCGACGCCCCCCCCCCTTCAAGGTAAACACCAACCAGTTCTTAAGCTGACATCTTTGCCTAAATTCGCACGATCTTATGCTCTTTTGTTACCGATTTAGGATTCAATCACATTCACTCAAGTTCCATTTTCGAGCAAATTGTTCAACTTTACTGTATCGTAAATTATTCGTATTGTCTATTTCATGAAACATCCAATCACGATTCGGGGTGCTTATCTGTTCAATTATTGTGACATGAAGGTTGTAGTTAAGTGAGCTTATCAGTCTTGAGGATTGTCTTGGTAGTTGCTATCCTCAACAACGGAGAACCCCACATGCTGACACAAACAGCGTGTGCGCAGGATTTCAGGAACATCCGCCAGTATTGGTAATGACATTCGACGAAACATATGGATGACATGAAGTGTTCACACATGCTTACACAACGATAACATTTGAAACTTATCAGAACAGAAGGAAATATGAACTGCAATAAACCCACAACCAATTGACGTTTTGTGTTGGTGCACAAAATCGAGGAAGCAATGACCGTGTGGGCTTGAATGTGGTATTCGCTCTTTGTGAGCGGGGAGGGGGTAGAGGATAATTAGTAAAGCTGGTCGGTACGGATGGCAAACAATGTGCATAGTACATGTTATATTATCAGCCTTTTCCAACTGCCTGTTCCATCGTCCTTTCTCGTAATCTTATTCCTTATGCGAACTTTAAGGATTCGATCTGACACGTTTGCTTCGACCGTTTTGTTTGTCCTGTTTGGAACGTGGTCATGTGTGGATAGATGGCTATCTCCAGGTTTGGGAATTGGATGGATTACACGGCTTCATTACGCTCATCATGTCGCTTTTTCAAAACTCAGTTACAGACTAACAAACTAGATCCAGTTCACCTCCCTTTTATGTGTGATCAGTTTGAATTCCGTTTCGTCGGCGTATTTTCGAGATATTTC